TCTTTGAAAAAAAATTTATTATAAAAGTAGAAGAACAGAGATACAATATACAGAACCAGATCTGGGTTTAAAACAGTGGCGAGACATGACATACAAAACCAAGAACTGGGTTTGTAGTAGTGGGGAGACATGACATACAGAGCCAAGATCTGGATTTGTAGTGGGGGGGACATGACATACAGAACCAAGATCTGGGTTTGTATTAGTGGGGGGACATGACATACAGAACAAAGATCTGCGTTTAAAGTAGAAGGGGATCACGCACACAACATACGGAATAACGATCTGGGTATAAAGTTAATGGCTCAATATTCTATTTTGTCAATGTTAATAACAATACATTAAAAAGTTTGCCACATTTAGCTGATGGATGGACTTTAAAACTGAAATCCAAAATTTCCTTCTAAGTTTCTAACATTTGTGCTAATACAGTGGAACCTCGACTTACAAATGCCCCTACTTATGAATTTTTCGGGTTACGACCCCAATTTTGTCGGAAAATTTACCTTGACTTACGACTTTGTTGATACACGTATGGGTCGACCCAGCACGTGGTTCCTGGTGGCATAGACGACCCCCGCTTCAGTTTATAAGACCACCCCACTTAGTAACGATCGGGCTTGAATTCTTTGTAAAGAATTTTATTGTTTTTGTGCTTTTTTGTTTTTTGAAGATAAAAGTAATTATTATACATCATGCCATGGGTCCCAAGAAAGTCAGTGGTATGGTTCAACCTAAGAAAACAGTTGAGAGTAGAGGCAGTAGAGGATGTCCCTTCCTCACTAAAAAATGTGTGAAGTATGGGAAGAAGTGCAACGTTTTGCTGAAAAGACTCGCCAAGATAAAGCAGTAGCAGGCCGTTACATTGACTTTATTAATGACAATGTGTTGTCTCACTACAGACAAGTGTTAAAATGTAGGGAAAAACAAATCTTTATGGAAAGGTTCTTGGTGAGACAAACAAGCAGTGAGCCATAACCAGGTCCTAGTGGTATGCAGGCAAAATGTAGAAGATAGTACACCCCAGAGAAATCATCACTGCCTGATGGTATAATGGAAAAAAAGAGACTCCTTCCAAACACCTCTCCTCCTCCTCCACTCACTCCTCACCGTCTCCTATACGCCAACAAAAGTCATCAATAAAGGTAAGCTATAACTTGTACTAAATTTAGTACAAAATATTTGTGTGTATTATGTATGAAATGTATTTTGAAGGTAATATTTTTGGGAGTGTGGAATGGATTAATTCAATTTACATTAATTCTTATAGGAAAATTAATTTCGGGTTACGACCCATCTCTGGGAACGGATTAAATTCATAAACCGAGGTACCACTGTACTGGATTCCCCACAATATTGTTAGCAACAATATATACATTGTCAAAGACTAACTTATTATATGCAAAATTCCCTTTCCATAATTTATATTAAATTACTTATTCCTGGCCTTAAGTCAATAAAATGTCATTATGAATGTCACCTTTACAAAAGTGCCTCCAAGTAACAAGATATTCCACTATAAGAGAGCATGTGATTACTTTATCCAGAATTTACAGGAGCAAAATTTTCAGGTCATAAACAAATCCTGTTACAAACATAACCACACACTGACCTAAGATATAGTACCTTCTATAATTACAATAAATGTCGTCATATTGAAAGTGTCAGGATAAACACACATTTGCAAATTGTGAACTAAGGCAATTTAGACTAATGAATATAGTACATGTAATATATATAAACTAAACCAATTACTAAGATCATGTTAAAAATAATTCTAAAGTAAATACCAAATGACATGTTTAAACAAATGTCATACTTCATAAGGAAGAAAATATTATGACCATCACATTATTAATACTGTACTGTACGGATACATGAATAAGCCATTAGTCGAGAGAAATGGTTCTAGTGTTGGGGTTATGCATTATCACTTCAATGGGACCATCCAGTTCTTTACCAGAGCATAGCTGATTCACCATGTTTACTATCATTTCCATGCCCTCGGGTGTTTGTACATTGATATTACTTCCTGGTGGAATCTGAATTATAAATTTTCGTTTTTGTCCACTAACAGACGCATTTATGTGAATTTCTGAAGGTGGTTGTGCTGGCTTCTGCACTTGTGCAATAGGTAATAAATCATAATTTGAACCAAGAATTTCATGAATATCATCTGCTTCATCCAAAATTTCTTCATCATCCTCATCTTCATCGTCACCTGCATCAACATTATTCCCAGACATATTTGCACCAGCCTTTGTTTGAAGACTTTCAATTGTATTAGTTGCCTGACTCACTGCAGCTGCAATTACTTTGTTTACTAGATCCTCATCTTGAGAATCTGTATCAGGAACAGTCTGTGTAAAACTTAATGTTCCTTTTGACACCCGAACATCAGTTCCTACTTGAGTCTTTAGCAAGTTGATAGAATTCAAAGATCTTTCATTACTTTTCACTGATACTTCAGATGTATATTGCTCTTCTAACTCTCCTTCCTGATTCTCGATGCTCATATCATCTAAGAGATCATCATCATCATCATAATCTACTGCTTCTTCTTTCTTAACCATTAGTTCTCTCTTTACAATAACATTTTGATCTTCATTCTCAGTAACAGTAATTTCCATAGCTTTATCTTCTTCTCCATCATCCTCCTCCTCATCATCATCATCCTGTGAACCCACGTCCCCATCTTTGCTACTACTATCTTCCTTTGCATTTTTTTCTTTCTGCTCTTCCATTTCTAATTGCTTGAGCTGCTTTGTAGCCAGATCATCATCCACATCTGGGAAGACAGGCACGCTTCCATCAGCAAGAGGATGAATATAACGGATGTGATTTTCATAATACTCTCTCTTGCCAAACTTGAACCCACATGTATCACAAGCATAATATATAGCTCGATCATGATTTTGCAAATGGGCCTTAAGATTTTTTCTATCTGAAAAGTCCCTGGTACATTTTTGGCATTTAAAAGGTTTTTGATTTTTGTGGACTAATCTCTTGTGCCTTTCAACATCACCCTTCCTTGTAAATCTTGCTTCACATTCATCACATGTGTGAGGCTTCTCTCCAGTGTGTGTTTTATAGTGCTGCTTCATTGACGATTCTTTGAGCATCTTGAAGCACATGACACACTCTACATATTTGTCTCCATCGCTGTCAACTCGTTTAAATAGGGTATTTGTTTTCTTTTTCTGTTTAGATTTTTTTGGATCTTCACCAAATTCATGAAGGGCATCTAGGAGTTCTTCTCCAACATCACTTATGCTCTCTGCTGCTTCTGATAAAGCTCTTTGAAGCTGATCTAACTCACTCACATCTTCATCCTCATCATGCTCTTCCACATCCTTGGGCTCTTGCTTCACTTTTACAGGTACAATGGGTTTAGTAGGTTTCCTACCTCTTCTAGATTTTGGGGCTCTATCCATTCCAGGTTCAAATTTCCTCACTACACCTCTGCCTGTGAAAATCATACGTGGTTTGGCATATATGTTCTCCATCTCTGATGTAACCATTCTTGCTCTCTTACTTACTCGAGACTCTACTTTCACAACATCCAAAAGCTTTTTTTCTCGTCCTGTTTTCTCTACTTCCTCTTGATCAGAAAAATACTCTTCAGGTTCTTGTTTTATCTTAAAAGAATCAACAAATGCTATTTCCTCTTTACACTGCTGTTTATACATAGGATCATCTTCCAAAAAATTCTTAAAATTCCGTTTAATTAAAGAAGTTTTGGCATCACTACCACTATCTGCCTTCACATTACACTCAACCTTCTCTCCAATTTCAGACTTCACTGCAATCTCTTTCTCTTCAACTTCTCTTGCACTTTCAACCATCATTTCCTTTGCATGTACTGTTGTATCACAAACTGGTTTTTTTCCCATTTCAATGCTATTGCAATCTGATGTATTTCTAATTCTGCTAACATCACTTTGAATCATAATTTTTTTCATATCCTCAAAGTCTCCATCACTAGAATTGTCAACATTTTCACACCCACTATTGTTTTCTGCAGTTTTGGATGAAGGATGTTCATGTTTTGTATTCTTTAGTGTACCACTTCTTGGCAAATAATTTTTTTTGGGAGACCCCTTCTTCAAAGACACACATTCTTCTTTGCTATTATCAACTTTTACTTTTGTAGTTTTAACTTTAATGCTAACTTTTTTAGCAACAGGCTTGGGCCCTTTTGAAGACTTGGTTAATACTTTTGGGGGACTCTTGGAGGTTAATGCCAATGTCCTTTCTCCAGCATCACATTCTTTACATGAGGGACAATTACAACCGTCAATCTTTCCCTCCCATGTTCCCAACATGTGAAGGACTGATATCTTCTTTCGACGAGTTCCTTCGCGCACAGACATTTTATCAGTACAGTATAGATAAGTTACTGTATAACAAAACTTAAATCTGACTTTTCATTCTTTCCTCAAGCCTTCTTCAAATGTAATTAATCAATTTGAGTATTTTTTCACTTTGTTTTGCTGTTCTATAAATGGCAATCCTAGCGAGGCTATCACAAGTATGAGAAAGCGTCCTTTCCAGCCTGATCAGCACCTATGGGATAAAGAGAGAGTTGATGTTATTTACAAGGAAGTACATGAGAAGATAAACATTCATGCTAAATAATATCAACTCTCTTTTTAAACCAATTTTTGCAAGGTGTCTAGTTTTAACACACATTCATCTTTACAGTATGTATTTAAGAAAACAGTATATATATTAATCTACAGTGGAACCTCAAATAATGAATTTAATCCATTCTGGCACCGAGCTCGTTATGTGAAATGCTCGTCTTTCAAAACGAATTTCCCCATTTAAAATAATGGAAATCAAATTACTCCATTCTACCACCGAAAAACATAAATATGATATTCGATGTTTTAAATAATGGAGAGCCTACTTTACATACACTGAACAAACCTTTATGACATTTTTCTTCAAATTTGTTCAATTTTTTTTTCATATTTTTTTTAATAGCAAAAGGTTCATTCGGTGTATGCGAGACAGGCTGCTCCATGTTTCTTAAAAAAAAATGAAAAAAAAAAAAAATGAAAAAAAAAATGAAAAATTTTGAAATGGAATAAGTGTCGAAAATGTTCATTCGGTGTTCGGCAGGTAGGCTGCTCCATGTTTCTTTTAAAAAAAAAGTTGAAGCAATTTGAAAAATGGACAAATGCCATAAAGGTTCATTCAGTGTTTGTTGGGTAGGCTGCTCCATTATGAAAATCTGTGTTTCAAATGTGTTCCATTTGTTTTGTATTTTTAATTTATTTCTCAATAATGGAGCAGCCTACCCGACAAACACTGAACAAACCTATATGGCATTTGTCCGTTTTCAAATTGTTTCAACTTTTTTCTTTATTTTTTTCTTTAAGAAATATGGAGCAGCCTACCTGACAAACAATGAACGAACCTTTTTGACATTTGTTTTTTTTTAAGAATTTAATTTCTTTTTCTACAAAAAAGTCAATGCTTTGCAACTTCACAGCAGTCATCCCTTTACATTCCAGCATCATTAGCATCTTTCAAAAAAAAAAAAAATTATTTGCATCGTCGTAGGCATCCGAGAATGAGCGAGAAGCAGCGCGACCCCAACATGTGGTATTATCGTTATTCAAACGAGCGCTCGCCAAACGAGACGAATTGTCGGCGATCGGGGCGCTCGTCACCCGAGGTTCTACTGTATATTATATACGTATGTATATAATGAAACTCCCCATTTTTAGTATGAGAGGCTGTCAAGCCTGTCATTAGCTCTCTAAGATAAGTGATGGTCCAGCCAAGCCTTAGGGAAATGCACCTGGGCTCCAAGACCAACCATGCCTACTGCATGACATGACCAGTCTGACTCACTCTACAAAGCAATAAGTACTTGGGGATCAGTAATTACCCAAAAGCAAGGGATTTAATTTTTTTTTAACACTTTTGGCCATTTGTGACTGATATTGCATCTATAAATAACTTTATGGATGTCATTTAAATGTCATGTCCGGCGGTGACACATTTTGCGTCCAAAATTAAAATGTTAACACTTTGGCGTACCCCGCCCGCCACCCCTCAACTGTGCGATTTGGGTCCCAGGGTGTCACGGGAGCGCGCATAAATTCTGAAAAGTGTATACTCTCTTCAACTTTGTCACCTTAATTCTCGTCCTACGAGATTAAATTTGGTATTGTGTTCGCAATAGAATTCTTTACAGCACTAAATGCATATAAACTCCAAAAGCCCAGCTAATTACTCGCAGCAAACAGAGAAAGTGCGAACGAGTTACCCAGGAGCGTGCAAACGTGATAAAATGTTTTCACTATTTTCACTCTGGTCACCTCAATTTTCGTCCTAGGTCTTTCATTTTGGTCTCAATGGGTTCGCAATAGAATTCTCTAGAGGAACATTAGCATATAAAATAAAAAACCTGGTCACGCTCCAACCGCTGACGAGTTGAAGACGGGCCACGCGTTAGCCGCGAGTGAGCGCTCAGACGCCTTCCAGCTACACTCCCAATTCCCGCCCTTTTCAAGCCTTTCTTTCGCAATTTTGCTTCCTGGAAGGGCCTTGTTCATGATCACTATCCATCGTGGAGTAAGTGTAGATAGTTTCTAAAGCCGCAGTAAGAAATATAGCCACGGAAAATAGCCAAAATGTTCACACGTTTGAGATGCAAGGGGAGGCGACATTGGTCACAACAGTGGAGCGAAAACAATGGGCCCACGGCGTGTGCCAAGCCGCCTGAGGGCCACGAGGCTCAACAAAGAAAATGGGAAGACATCGGCGCGCATTTTAAAACCAGTCCCCAAAAAATCGGATAAAAACTTGATTTTTGCCGATTATTTAAAGTGGATGACGCAATGCTGCGTCATCCCCGGCATTACCGACAGTAAACTGATGACGCAATGCTGCATCATGCCCGGGCGAAAGTGTTAAAATTCCATTTCTTCCCCGCTCATTATGGGGCTAGTTTTAAAACGAGTGCCTTTAGACTGTGAATAATTTGATACCAGAATGAACGACGCAGCATGAAAATTGCGGTGAGAAAACTGAACAGAGCATACACATTTTAGTATTGGAGTGTGGATGGGTGCTCGCTCACTGGTAACACTCGACCGATTTTCGAGTTTGCTGCGGGTGGCACATCGGGCTTTTTTACCTTATATGCATATATCCCTTTAGAGAATTCTATTGTGAACAATATGATGCTAAAATGAACGATGTAACACATAAATTGACAAAAGAAAACTGAAAAAGAGTATGCATATATTAGTGCAGATGTTGTGGGTATGCGGATAGGTGCTCACTCGCGGGTAACGCTAAGCCGATTTTCGGGTTTGCTGTGGGCGGCACGTCGGGCTTCTTGACCTTGTATGCCTATATATCTCTTTAGAGAATTCTATTGCGAACAATTTGGTATCAAAATGAACGATGTAACACAAAAATTGACACGAGTAAAAGAAGAGTTTGCACATTTTAACGTGGGTGCGCGCTCACGGGAAACGCTAGGGCCACCTTGAAAAGGGCTGGGGCGCATAAGCCAGACAGCTCAAAGTGTTAACCATACAGCTAAAAAGAGTAAGGTTCTCTTTTTCTCGATATATTATAATAAAAGAAAACATGCCAATTTCAAAATATATTTTGACCCTATGGAGAAGGGGGATGGGAAGCTGAAAAGGTGTAGCAGCCAAGTTATAAAAAAAGAACTACAGCCAGAGCTGGCAACACAGAGAAAGAAGCCCCCCTGCAAACAGCACCCCAAGACCAAGAACTCCCTTGCAAGAACAGCCAGGACCACCATTCCTGGAAAATAAAGCAAAGGTACATAAAGGAGCCATAATCCACAGGGCCTCCTGGAACACAAAAAACATTGGGTAATTTAAAGAGGGTGGTCAAAGCAAATGGCAACTACAAAAAGGCAGAGGACAACTGCCAGTGCCATAGGACACAGGTCTTCCACAGTCCACCACAACGGCAGAGGCATCTAGAAGCCCACCAGAGCGGGAAGAGGACATTCATTAAGAAACCACTGAATCAAGTACAGAAACTCCCAGGAATGCCATAACAACCTAACCAAGGACGTGAATCAGAGAGAAACAAAGGAAACCAGCCATTTAGAACATCAAGCACCAGGGAGATATCTTGGCTGACCAAACCCTGAAGGCCAAATGTAAATACCTGGTAGAGAAAGGCATAGACAGTGATAAACAAGAACAATCACTTACACATAACAAGCACAACTGCACAAGAAACTAGTTACACTCCCATCAACAGGTTTCATAGTGGAGAACAGGTCATGTGCACTACCAGGAAGTATAGTGGGAAGAGGAGTCCACTCATAGAGAAGGAATCTTTAAATTTAGATTTAGTGTTAAATCTTTAGATTTAGTGTTAACTAACAGGGAAACACAAATTAATGACATCGAAATAGGGAGTGAGCTAGGGAACAGTGATCACAAAGAAATCAGATTTAGCATAGAATGGAATAGACCTGTAGGAGGAAATTCTGTTAAAGTGCCAGATTTTCGAAAAGCTGATTTTAATAGCCTAAGAAATTTTTTGGGTCAAATTGATTGGAAAGTCTTGGGTATGGGGTGTGGGCCGGTCTTGGAGCGAGACATAAACCCAGCGATAGGTGACGTAAATGGGGATTTCGATGTGGATTCAATATATAACTTATTTAAGAATATTCTAAACAAAGCACAGGAACGTAGTATACCATACAAATTGAATAGATCAAATACTAATGACCCAAAGTGGATAACAAAGAATTTGAAGAACCTTATAGGTAAAAAGAGAGCTTGGTACAAAAGGATTAAAAATGGGGAGGTCACTTTAGAACAGGAATTCGTACAACTGGTTAGAAATGTTAAAAAAGAGATAAGGAAAGCAAAAAGAAACTATGAAGTTCGCATAGCAGGGCAGGCAAAGACAAATCCTAAAGGGTTTTTTCAGTTATATCGTACTAAGACTAGGGAAAGGATAGGTCCATTAAAAACTGAGACAGGTCAAATAACAGATAGTGATGAAGAGATGAGTAGTATTTTTAATAAATATTTTGTATCTGTATTTACTAAAGAGGAACTTAACAATATGCCTTCAGCCGAACAAGTCTATGTGGGTGGGGACGAGGACAGGTTGACGAGTTTAGCAGTTACCAGGGAGGATGTTCTTAAACAAATAGTAAAACTCAAACCAAACAAATCCCCAGGGCCGGATGAAGTGTTTGCCAGGGTGCTTAAAGAATGCAAAGAGGAGCTTTCCGAGCCACTGTCTACCATATTTAATAAATCAATAGAGTCAGGCAGAGTGCCAGAGTTTTGGAAAGTTGCTAATGTGATACCAGTTTTTAAGAAAGGAGATAGATCACTTGCATCTAACTATCGACCAATTAGCCTAACGTCTATTGTAGGAAAGTTACTCGAATCTATACAGTAATAGCAAATAAAATTCGTCTTCATCTTGAAAAACATAAATTAATAATTGAGTCGCAACATGGTTTTATAAATGGCCGTTCATGTTTAACAAATTTGTTATCTTTTTATTCTAGCATAGTTGAGGCAGTTGAT